ATTGAATCATAAATATTTCTAAAATTATAAGGTAATAAAACATCCATATTTATTAATTTTTAATAAGGTAACAAAAAAAAATATACATATATATATATATAAAAGATAAAAAAATATTATTCTATCTATAACAACATTTTTTAGAAAAAGATATTATGATAACCTATTAATTTAATTTATAATAATATTTTAATAAATGCAAATAGATAAATATTACTATATAGTAGTATGCAAAGATATCTATTTCTTAAGATTGGAACACACAAATCATGCAAACAAATAAATAATAAATTCATTAGTTAAATAAACCAAACTAAAATGTATCGATTTTCATCGGTATTAAATTATTGATTTATCAGAAAAATTACCTTATAAGTGTAAATTAATATTCCATCGTCAACTTCAAAATATTTAAAATATTGTGTGGCCATATCTTGAAAAGAAAATAAAATGCACAACTTTTGCAATTTTATGATCACAATTCAAAATATAGGACAAGCATTTACTCACAGGACTATTTTCCCTTCATACAACAAAAAATAATATTAACTATTTATTCAGGCCAAGTCAAACACATGTTCTACGAAAGTGGCAAGGTGTTTCAAAAAATAGTTGAGGGTCAGGGGTTGGGAAAAACACACACTTAACTATTTAAATTCCATGCATATATTTCCAATTTGGAGTATACCAACCAACTTAAAAAGTTAAAGTTGATTTGGCCATTTTGCACCACCTTATTTCGTGGCCTTTTATTCTCTTCACTCTCTCTGTATAAATAGCCATTAACTCCAACCGTTGCTCCAACAACAAGAAGCAAATCTTACTTAATTTACATTATTAATTCCCTTGTGGCTGTGAGAGCATAGAGCATAATGAGTTTGAAGTTTGGGCATGGACTCATGTTACTAGTTATTATAAGTGCTTCAATGTTTTCATTGAGCATGGCCAACAAGGACTGGTCTTTTGGTTTCAACTACACTGATTGGTGGTCCAGATTCGGGAATCATCCTCAGAACAAAACACAACAACAACCTAAGCAAATACTTGTGGGTGGCTCTGAGCATTGGCACTTCGGCTACAACTACTCTGATTGGGCCATCAAGAATGCCCCATTTTACATCAACGATACTCTAGGTCAGTTTTCTTACTTAACTAATGATTTCTAACATAACTACAATACCCCTAATATTTACTTAAACCTTTTATAAAAAACAAACAAAATGATTAAAAATTTATTAGTTGCCACTTGCCACTGTGGTATTCTATGTGCTAACATATGTGAATGATTTTGTCATGTATGTAGTTTTCAAATATGATGCTCCAAATGCCACTAGTTTCCCACACAGCGTGTACATGTTTAAAAGTTTCGGGAGCTTCTTGAAGTGTGACATTAAAAATGCTAAGATGGTGGCGAATTCCACGCAAGGTGTAGGAAAGGGCTTCAAGTTTGTGCTGAAGAAGTGGCAGCCTCACTACTTCGCCTGTGGCGAGCGAAATGGATTCCATTGCAACAATGGCACCATGAAGTTCGCTGTGATGCCTATGCTTCGTCCCTTCTGGCAGTGGCCATGAGAAAACAAAATTTCACAACTATTTGCAGCTTTTCATATTTATGTTTTACTTATATGTTTTGTTTGAAGACATTTGGCAAATAAAACTCTGGTTTCAGATTGATTGATTTTAATCAATTTAATAATACTATTTGTAGTGTTGTATTACAAACTGTGGTTTCAGATTCATTAATTTTAATCAATTTAATAATACTATTTGTAGTGTTGTATTACAATTAATCTAATAAATTTATGAAAATTGATTTTAGATTGATGGATTTTAATCAATTTAATAATACTACTTGTTAGTGTTGTAATACAAGTATTCTATATCATAAGGGATAAGAGACAAAGACACTTAAGGAGTTGCATTTTTCTATTTATAAATATAGTAGATTGGAGATAACATTCTTAAGATTATTGGACAAAGAACTACTCACAAGTTAAAAATTCTACCAAGTACTACGGTCCTTTTAGTAGTTTACCAAAATTCAATAGTATACTCATTTGACTCGGGACTAAATAATCCGAAATTAGGATGGATCCACTTAGTTTAAAAATAAGTTATTTAGACTTATTTTATTTAATAATTCATATTTTACATCATATTTTAATAATCATTGAATTAAAAATTATTAATATATAAATTAAGTTTACAATTTTTTAAAAAATTTGAAAATTATTTAATATTTTCTTATAAAAATTTAAATTAACATAAAAAATAATTTTATGATTATATGTCAATTTGAATTAATGAAATAGAGTATCAAATAATTTTTTTATTTTTTTTTTAGAATTTTAACGTCATCTATATATTAAGAACTTTTAATTTAATGATTGAATTGTTGAGTAGAACATAAATTATTGAAATCTGTTAATCCCTCCATCAAAGACGCCCTTGAGGAGCTATGATCCAAGGATTCTAAGGTGTTCCTTGCCATTGAGTGTCATCTCTTCATCAATGCAAGCAAGGATGCCATCATGTGGTATCAGAGCCTTGGTAATTCTTCAAGGGTAACATTTTTGTCTCTTCAAATTCGGTCATGTCTAATTTGAGTCTTCTTGTTTGTCTTCTAAGTTGTGTGTGATTGAGTCATTATCTTGCCATATGTCATGATTCATATTCCTCCTTTCATGTATTGATTCATGCCTCATCATTCTTGTGAATCATCTTGGTGCTTTAGGCTTCCTTGCTAGGGTTCCTACCATTTTTTCTTTAAATTTAAGTTGCTGGAAAATTTTGGTCTGCATGATATAATGATGTTTTTTATTTTATAATCCATTCGTTTTTGTCATAAACTTGTCTCCTTTGAACTACCTTGAAAGAAATTCCAAGTTTTTATGCTTAGCCATTGAAATGAGTAAAATATGACATGCATGCCACCTGTTTGATGAAATGGTCGTGAGTCCTTTAATGTTCTTTAGAGAGTCAATCATGCATGCTAATTAGTTCTAGCATGTTCTACATTCCTAAAATATCATGTGTGATTAATTTCTTTGCACATACTTGCTTAAAAATTTTCGGCCACTTTGTGTATTCCTTGGTGCACTTGATATGCCTATGTATTGTTTGATGTTTTAAGTATGAAAATGACTTTTATGTGCAAATTCTTGCTGCTGGACATTGCACATTAACAACCTTAAGCAAACACTCAAAACTTAAAGTTGAGTGTTTGGTTCATGTTCATTTTACTCTCTTGAGTTTAAACCCTGTTAATCTGAAAAACCACATTCCTTTGTTAACCAAGCCTCAGTCAACCCTCAACTTTCCAAAAAAAGTCCTTGTGATCCTTAATTTCTCTCAAAGAGTAGTACTGAAGAGATGATATCAATGCTTATGTTCATAGAAATGATGAATGGACTTGAGAGAAACACTCACCCTGGAGAGCCATTGTTGAGAGAGTATGTTCAGATATTGGTTTGTAATGTTCATGCTATGATTTGCCTTGCAATTTTTGTGTTTGGGCATGGTTGTTGTTGTGGGCACCTCAGTGAGTAGAAATTGGTTTTTGATGGTGAATTGATTGAGTGTTTATCTATTGTTGATATAGAAGAAATCT